TTTGTGGCTGTACATCTTTTGTTGTACCACTCTCATCCCCCCTTTTGTTGCATGTTTGTTCACGTTCTTCATCATTCCCACGTTTTTTAAACCTTCCTTGTATAGTAGTAGCTTCTGTTTCTCTTCTGATACCCATAATCCTTGACGCCGCCATATTTGTTTTGAAAACATTTCTTTCAATTACTTACCACTTTTTTTTTGGCCTCACTTCGTCATAATTCTCATCAACAATGTCCATTTTTCCCACAAGGACTGGTTTGGTAGTGTATTATGCCTTTTCTTCTCATTTTCTCCTTCCTTCAATATTGGTCACTTCTTTCTCGTCTAACGTAAGATTCCAATGGGCATATTTTTTCTTATGTGCAGCATTTCATTACGACTTCGCCTATTTCATCATTCTCGTGCCAGCCATAGGATTTCTCCTCTTCATCTTCTTCTTTTTCCTTACTTGGTTTTGTTTTTTTTTTTTTTTTTTTTTTTTTTCCCTTATGTTTTTGGTCTGTCACTGTTTATGTAGCTAAACTTACCTATCTTAAATAATGCGGAAACGGGAGAATGAGAGACAAGAATGGGTTTAAAGATGCTTATCTCACCATATTTACTCTGTCTTGCTGTGTTTGCTTTGCAATTTGCTCGCTGCTTGTTTTCCTATTTGTTTTATTTCTTCCACTGTTGACTGCCAGCTGGTTCCCTACAATTCGTGGAATCGTGTAAAACCGGGTGCCTCGTCGGCTCTTCCATGATATCGACCTCTGCGGGATCTGTGGAGTGAACAACCTTGGGATTGTCATTCTCCGTGTCTTGTTTTCAGAATGTATTTATCGATTTCTTTGCATCAAAGATAAAACCGTTTCCAGCCGAGATAACAATACACATAACGCCTTCAATTTGAGCCCCTCCCTCCGCGATATCTTGTTTGGAACCAGGACAATCGCCAAACCAATCCCTGTTCGGAATACAGTACCGCGATGTTGTCGATTGCACAGATTCCCTATGCATTTCGGTCTGCTCTCCAGTGCCTCTACCGCTGTAGTACATGGCTCTGGGTTGGTCGCCTGGAGGTCGTTGGGCACGACAGCATTGAGGAAAAGTACTCTGTCAAGTTTCAGCCTGATTTATGTCCCCGACAGTAATAACAAAATAATAAAACCTCAGACAGAAATCGGTCATCATTCATAAAAATAAGGTAAAATAAAAAGACACAGAATTGGCGCAAAGGCAACTCGACGACCCGAGTCCCTCTTGAACATGAAACACCGGCGCTGCGCCAGAATCCAGCGCATCCACCATCTCTTTCGTTCGACTGGCCTGTTGGAATCCCATTGAGGATCCTCGTTGGAACGCTTTCAAAACATCTCGAGTAACAACGCCAGATCGTGCTGCAACGGGTGTTCCAAGGCCCCAATCGGCTTCGCTGCGAATGGACCCGATTTGTGGCCTTTTCGACCTATCCGAATCCCTGACCACAAATCATCCCAACTGCTCCAGCTGGGGGGCTGCCGGGAACTTATCCACCTTGGACCTGGCTTGAGTTAGTGGCCGACGGTTTGAGGTTAAAACGACCTGGACCAGTGATCTCGCCACTCTTCATTGTTGTCAAGAAATCTTGAAGGACGGACTCGCTGGAGTCGAGTGGATCCCACAAAAAAAAGGGAGAGGAAGAGGAAAAAGAGGAAAAGGAAAAGGAAAAAGAGGAAAAGTGTCTCCCGTTTTCTATCTTGTCATTCAAAAAAATCTACATATGTTGTTTCCTCTCCCCTCGATGTGCTGAATCCCTGGTCTCAAACGCAGCGTCTGGCAATCCATGATGGACTGACACAGCAAGGCTGCAGACCAACATCCCGGGATCAACCAACTCGCTGCTCCTGTTGGCATCGCCCCGTGATTGATTGTCTGCCAGACAGTTCTCCTGGGTGCGACGGGCGACGACAGGAGTTCGGCCATAGCAATTTTTTGTTTTTTTTTGTCGGCTGCGCATCTTCGAAGATTCCCATAAAACGATACATTCCGCCCGTATATATATGTACTGTACATATATATACATATATATGAATATACGTCTGTACTTTTTTTATCCTGCTTTTGTTGCGGCGAAGCATCTCTTTCCCTCTGGCGGAGAAAGTGTGGCTATTTACATTCAAGTTACTACGCAAAATCCGAAATTTGGCTACCTCTATTGAGCTTCTATATAGATATCCCTTGCCTAACCCCCGGAGTCTAGCAATTTCACCGCTCAAATACGTTCAATTCCTGTCAGTTGCTTGGTTGTCTGGCAGCTTCGCTTCTTTTTTTTCATGCGCACCAATCCCGCTTGTTCTAGGGCTGCCCTACCCGCATGGTATGCCATTACGGAGTGCAAGTTTTTGCATATGGTCTAGTTTTGCCACGGTGGGATCTTCGCTTGGAATAGCGAGTGAGTGGAGGAGCATTTCGTTGACGTCCGTGGCGGGCTACCAGGCAGAGAGGCTCCCGATCTTCAGCAGCATTATTCGTTCGGCAGGGGGCTTCTTCTTCTTCTTCTTCTTCTTCTTCTTATTTTCTTGTTTATTTCACTTCAACCGTCGTTGAGCGACGACATGCCTACCAAGATGATTGTCTCAAGCCATAGCTCCCACAACGTGACACTTCGACGGACCCCGACGAGGAGCACCTTTGGTCCAACTCCTCTGTCGAAACAACACCTCCGACTCCCGTTTACTCTTGATTCCCCGCTCCCCTCGCCCAGTTTACCCTCGATAATTCCCCGCCACGGGAAAAAGCCGTCCCCGAGATGGCCCAGGAGAGCCTGGCAAGTTTTCAGTTGGGTCATCGGGGTAGTTCTGATTATTTGGTTTGGGTTTTCATGGCAGCAATCGGAGCGTTTCCCCCTTGCTCTCAGTCATGTTCATACCGAGGGTGATCGCCTTGAAATAGTCGGTAGTGATGACCTTCCAAAGGGCCCCAGCCCAGTGATGGTGATGGACCAACGAGGGCGATCGCGATGGACAATTTCGATACCACACAATCTTGAGTTCCCTTTGGCTCCATCCGCCTACAATCGCATCTGTTCGCAGGCAGTAGAGCTGTCGCACAATGTGGAAAACATTAAAAATAACAAGCCCGCCTCTACTCCCCATGCTGCTCATCATGCGTATTACTGGAATGATAAGAACTTCATGGACATCCCCGACGCGGAACGCAACGGGTTGCTTCCTCACTCGCGCTATCATAAACTTTCTCAGAACGGGGTGGGTGTGGTCGGCGGCGGGGTGTACATGGAGAGTCCCGACGTGCCAGTTTGCGAGAAGTCCTTGACTTATGTCATGCAGACAGACGATGCCGGGATGGGCGCGACATTAATGGGTTTATGGATGAGTTATGGCTTGGCTCAATACGAAGGAAGGGCTTTCTTTGTCGATGATACCAATTGGGCTTATGGTCGATACACGACATATTTTAAGCGCCCACCAATGCCCTCTTGTCGTCCTCCTCCGCAGCCACAACGAGTGCCTTGCCCACATCAAGCCAAACACCTCCTCATATCTTCGGCCACCACAAGCTGGGCCTTTGGGCACAGCTTCAATGAAAAATTCGAAGACGGGCACAGGAGAGGAGTGCAGCGCCAAAAGAAAATATTCGGCTTCCTCCGCAGCGGCTATGAAGCCTTATTCCACCTGAAGGGCAATGATGCTAGATATCTCGAACTACGCACGAAAGAACTCAACACATCAATACGGAGGAAAGGGGGTATTGAAGTTGGTGTCCACGTCCGACACGGCGACTGCCACCCCATGGAATTTCAATACCAGAAGTCCTACCTGCCTTTAGCAACATACACCGACGCTGCGTATGACATGATGATTTCCTTCCACGGTCACAGCGCAACACCCGCTGCGTCATCTGGCCAGGAAATTTCCAAAATCTTAATTGCCTCCGATGACCCGGACGTCTACTCAGCGGCGGAAATGTCCGATGCTGAAAAGGCACAATCGATGATTTCGCTAGTGAGCAAGACCGTACTTGACGCCGCTACAGCTGCAAAAGGCGGGACCGCAGGCATGATGGATGGCAACATAGGCTGGGAAGGCGGGTTTTTCCCTGACATGTTCTGGTCTTTGGGGGCGCCGCCGCCTCCGCGGGCGGAAGGGAGCCCTCCTGCTTCGAAGAATGAACCACACTTGCGCCCACGAAGCATAGAGGTGACCGACACGGAGGCGTTCCGTTTCCACCCGTCCAAAGAAGCGCTGCGCCTGCGCGAGCTGGTTGGGCGGGCGTATCTGCTCGACCTAGCTGTGCTGGGGCAAGCCGATGCTGTTGTCTGTGGTGTTAGTAGCATTGGGTGTCGCTTGCTAGCTGTTATGCTGGGATGGGATAAGGCTATTGAGCAAGAGAGGTGGAAGAATGTCGATGGGACGTGGCATTGGAAGGGAATTGTATGGTAAAACTTGTCTGGCATTGATTTTTTCTTTTTTTCTTTTTTTCTTTTTTTTTTTTCTTTTTTGTTTTCCCTTTTTCAGGCGTCTTGATTGTTTTGCAGCGAGCATCCTCTTCATCTCACGAAGTTTCATGTTTCAATTTTTTTTTTTTTTTTTTTTTTTTTTTTTTTTTTTTTTTTTCACTCGGTCGTTGGCTACACTTGGGAGGACATCTTGTTGTCTGACAAGGGTTTTGCAATGGTGCACAGTTGAAAAGGGTTATATCATGTCAGCCATCGATGCAAAGGACGCGAAGAAGGACTTATGATAGCCAAGCAAGCACTAGACGGTCAAATAAAAATACTCTATGATCTTCGTTATGTATCTCTCTGACGATGATTTCCACTGACAGGTATAGAAGGAAAAAACAGACTAACCCAGCAAAAAGCTCCAAGTCGAATCGTCAGACCCAAAAACCACGCGGCCCGCTTTCCTTCGCAGAAGAGTGAAAAGAAATATATGTTACAATGCATGCCAGAACAACGCACCCACATCTAATCCTCGAATGAAATCAGTCTGACCACAACCAGTGAAGTCCCCACTATTCTACGAAACAATTTCCAACTCCGACGTCCTCTCTGTAGCAAATAAACCACGATACTCCTCCCACAATCGCTGGAGTTCACGCACATACCTTGCATGCAGCTCATCAACATACGTCTCCTCAATCTTCGCCCGATCATGCTGTTGCACAACCTGGATCGGTCTACCCACGACAATATTCAATGGACGACGATAGGGCATCAGGCCAACATCATAATTGAAGACGCCACGGGCATGAAACAGGGGCACGGTGAAGCCCATCGTTCGTTTAATGAGAAGCTGAACCCTACGGATGAGTGGGTGTTGATCGGAGGAGACCTGTTCGTAGAGTTCGTTTTCGCCGAAGGCGAGCACGGGGACGAGATCTGCCCCCGTGCGGATGGCGAGCTTGATGAATCCCTTGCGGCGTTTGAGGACGAGGCGGATGGCATGGGGTTGTGCGTCGAGCGACTCGCTAGCCCCTCCGACGACGATGGTGATAGCGCGTCCCATGCCAGCATTGTCGAGGCCACCTTTTGAGAGGAGGTTTTCGCAGGACTCACGCGAGACGCTGCCCAGGCCCATGGCGAGGGCGTAGTCACGGTAGAAGGGGAGGCGGAAGTTGGAATCAAGGGTGAGGAGGGTGTTGGTGATTCCTGGAAAGAGGGTGGAGAAGCCCAGCGCTTCGGTCCCGAAAGCGGCGAAAGCGCCGTGCGAGATGATGCCGTGGGGGTGGTAGCCGAAAATGTATTTGCGGGTAGCGGGAAGGGGAACAGAGCGGTGGAGACGCGCGGGGAAGTAGGACGCAAAGTAATTCCAGATGCGGAGTGAGCGGAGAAAGGAGCTACGGCGGCTCAGAGTGCCAGAGGTTGCGGTATCGGAGAACAGAGAAATATAGACCAGGTAGGGGAGGAGGAGAGGCCAGAAGAGCGGGATGGCGCAGGAGAAGAAGAAGGCGGTTAGGAAGATGGGCATGGAGATGGTGTGGCAGAGGACGACGAGGGTTTGGAGCCGCCTGTCAAGGCCGATGTTCAGTGGGGCCCAGCGCAAGCTACAAACCACCCACACACACGTGTATATACGTAGAGAATATTTAGTATATCGGAGTAAAGAGAACCATGGCACTTATAGCAGTAGCCGCAGAAGAAAGACAGGAACTAGGGGATTTCGTACCTGATGCGTTCAGAAGCTCCTGGGCGGCTTTTATTACTGGGACTGCTCCTTGGGCCACTTCCCTGAGAGCCATTTGCCCTGTTTGACCTTGAGTCCCAGCGGTGGGTATGGGCTCCGCGCAGCAGAGGAGACGATGTGAGTCCATTCCGCTGAGAGAGGTCTTGCGTACCTAATGACGGTGCTCCGGAGGGTTGGCTATCTATCTGGCGCGGGGATCCGCTGTTCTGGAAAGCTGAGTTGTCGGACATTCCACGCTCACGGGACACAACGGCTTGGACATAGGACATCGGGGACAATCCAAGCGCAGCCCGATCTTCAGACAGTGAAGGCTCCGCGGTCAAATGAGCGGAGGGGGATGGAGAGCGGGAACGCATGATTTGGGTTTCCGGCAGGGAGCGGAGAGGGCGGATAAGCAGGAGGGAGAGCTCCAGGTAAGTATGTAAGGTCTAGTCTAGGAATAAAGGAGCTCCCATGGCCGCAAGGGGAGTAAGAGAGAGCGCCGCGAGGGCTGAGAGAAAACAACCGGAGTGCAGAAAGCCTCAGCGACCAGAGATCGTCCAGAGGTTGAAGGTTGAATGTTGAAGGTTGAGATAGAAGACGAGGATGAAGTCATACACGAGAACGCGGGCTTGGCGCGGGCTTGGCGATGACATCATGGGACTGAGATATCAATATGAAGGAAAAGAAGACGGCGTTGTTGTTGTTGTTGTTGTTGTTGTTGTTGTATATGACTATGGGTATCATGGGCATTATGGCTACGTTTCTCTATCCTATTTCCCCCTCAAGTGAGCGTTCGCTGCAGCGGTCGTTGGGCATTGAATGTAGATGAGCCATCCAGCACTCATTTTCATCTCCTCCCATCAGGCAAGAAACCAGATCTTCCAGTTCCCTTGCGCTCACAACCCAAACATTTCAATCCACATCTTCCTATACTCCCGCATGATAATAACCTCAAACTCGAAGATCCCTGCCTGCAATGCTCGCTCCTCGAACACCACGGATCCCCCAAACTCTGATTCCAACAGGCTGCCCAGTTGATCCTCAAATCGACCCAACATGAGCACGTAATATGGATGCAGCGGCTCCCCTCTCCTCCACCCTTCGTCCGGCGGTGCCACTGGCTGCAACATCGTCTGCTGCAGTGCAACGTTCGCCGCTGTCCTATGCACCGTATTGTTCGCTGTCGTTTTGATGGCAATGGTCGTCGTCGCAGTCGCCGAGCCTGCCCCGAATCCCCCTGCCTGCTTGCCCCAGTCTGCGCGGATATTGTCCAGGACGCTGCGAGAGTGTTTGAGCCACTCAGCATAGAAGGCATCTTTGGTCATTAGTGTCGGGCCCCCCTGGTGTTGATGTTGCTGGAGCTGGAGCTGCTCGTAGAAGTTGACAAAAAACGCGCTGAGGATTTGCGTATAGTACGGGTGGAGTGGATCGCCAGGCGCCCAGACAGAAGGTGGCGGGGAATCCGGGAAGCGTATGGATTCTTGGTAAGCCCTCGCGGCGAGGGCATAGAATGAGTCTATCGGAATGGTAGTGGTGGCGTTTGGTCGTGGTGGTGACGCAGTGGTTATATTGTTGTTAATGCGAGGAGGGGAGAGACAGCTGCCTGAGAGATTATCCTATATGTTCAGATGCAGAGTCAATATTGCCAGAAGCAGCGGGACTGACAAAGCCAACAGTCTATATCTATGCTTGCTTATAGCCATCCCTGCGGGGTCATATGGGTGGATACGACTGCTTGATGTTGAATCGGCATTCATCAAGTCAAGACTCACAATTCTCAACCCAAGCTCTCGCTTGTCATTCTCCATATGGTCCCGAACTGATGATCCACGAGCGTTTTCTGCTATCGCTCCGCCCTCGAAGCTGATCAGCCAGGGACTGGGCCTAGGGTCGGAAAGAATCCTGTCGTCCATGTTTTCCGCTGGGACGTGTTAGGAAGATCTAGAGGATGGCCAGGAACCCAGATGTAAAAGGAGACGTACCCGACGAACCAAATAAAGAAGAACTCCAGCCTTGGTGTATGTTTTTGTTTACATACATATTCATTGCAGTGTTGCCGTGTTGTAGGGGAGAGGTTGTCAAGACAACTTCTCCTATTCACTTTTCTCAAGTGGCTCCTGTCACCGGCGCTGTATGGCGTGTAATATCAATTCAATTCAAATTAACAGATAATAAATATCGGAAAGGTGTTTATCAACCTGTAATAAGCAGGCTTGTAAATTTTAGAATCGCAGCTCTACGATCTACTAGTGGTAAGGAACAGAAAAGTTGGATCATGGAATGCCAGCAAAACAACCAAATGAACATGGAAACAAAGCAGAGCCAGTAGCCGCACAGGCTGAGTTCCAAAAGGATATCCCGGATGTACATTATGTACATTGTAATGTAATGCAGAGGACCCCTATCTGGCTAGCACTTCACCATAAATATCTAGAAGGTAAAATCAGCAATGGACGAGATGGCTCAACAGGAAGACAAATATATGTGAAAATTTACCTCGCTGATAGATTTCGAATCCATTAGAGCCAGTTTCTTTTGCTGTATATGCCGACCCCGGGTAAACTGGCGACCCATCGGCCTATGCTCCCTAATCTTGCGGATACTCTCATTTTTCGCTGAATATCTTGACTCTTGTTCTTCCTGTGACACAGAGCGGGTATCTGGAGGCAAAGAATCATCGTGCACTTCTGTATTACTAGGTTCTGGATCCTTTTGTTTTCGTTTTTTCCGCTTTTTTTGAATTTTATCGACGAGTGCATCTTCTGAGGGTGTCCCCTGATTAGCATACGAGGAGTCATCGCTTGACTTTTTCTTCTCTTTGTTCTCTTTCCTATCTTTCCTTTTCCTCTTTGGTGATTGCTCAGCGAGATCCAATCCAGTATCATCACCCCTGGCTCTTCGCTTCTCCTTCTTGCGTGCCTTCTTCGGCCTTTTCTCCGATTTCAATTCATCATGTGAGATTTGAGGCGTTTGTACTTCCTCGCCACCAGCGCTCTTCACATCCGCAAGCGCCTGGATTTTTTCATGCACCAGTAGACCCCCGCTCACAAACTGCATTGTCTTCCACCTTTTCTCAACAAAATTAGCCAGCTGCCGGTCATGTCTTTTCTTCAGCTCCTTTTCCAGCTCCTCATCACTCTTTCCATTAAGCCGGCCCAGTAATCCCTGGAAAGCATCCAAGCCAGTTGGCTCGTCCTCCGCACGAAGTTTGGCGCCCAGCCCTAGATTATCATCCTTTAGAATGACACGGATATGGCCAGCACTGCCGGCGGTGAAGTGGTCGGCATGGGCGGCGTTGGAGGCCCCTAGGAAGCTGCCAGGCGTCCAGCCCTGGGCACTCATGATCTTGTGGCCATAGCCGGAGGTCGAGCGGGACCAAGCGGTATTGTTGGGATCGTGGGAGATTTTGGTCCTCCTAGGGTGAGAGATAAAACAGAGTTAGCCAGGGATGTTGGGGGGGGGGGGGGGGGGACGGGCACAGATTGGGATTAATAGTTACTGACTTTCGAGGGCCGGCTAACCCCATTGTAAGTTGGGGGGATTGACGGAAGCTGGAGGGGTAATGTCCTGGAGATATACTTGGTTTCTTCCGAGAAAAAAAAAAAAAAAAAAAAAAAAAAAAAAAAATCTATATAAATTTGCTGGCGAACGTCCACGTGACCACAAGCTGGTTTTTCCGACAAGATTCGTGGGTTTGTCTTATCTCAGCATGCTCAGCCTCTCTTCTCAATATTTTCGGATTAGGATGATCAACTAAACTCCTTTAGACTTCTGCCAAGTCATACTAACTTCTGAGCCAATCAGTGACTTCTCATGTACTTGCAACATAATATCTCATAAAGAGTCTGAGAATCATCTTATGTGAAAAATCTCACTTATACAAAATATGCAAAGAGTGTGCTGAGAATGTCTCATTTAGATTTAGTGTAAGGCCCTTGACAGCTGATTGGCTCAGATGTTAGTAGAACTTGGTAGTAGTTCAGATTGGGTTAGCTCAAAGTGGAGTGGCTGAGTCTTACTGAGATAAAGGTTTGTCCAACTTGGCTCTAATTTCCTTCAACAACATCCAGCAGCGCCCAATAAATATACCAGTTTCAAGCTCTGATCCTAGGCACTTATGGCAGGCAAGAAACCCCCCCCTCGCCGGCATGGACGCCCATCAAGAGCAGCCACTTCGAGGAGCGACCCGGACCATGAACCAGCCAGCATCTCGTCAACTCCTGCAGATCTGCTCAAGGACCTGAACTGTGCTGTGAGAGGCACGCCTGCATACCTAACTTGTTGCTTGTTGCTTGTTAATACTGCTTTAGAAGCCCAATGTTCGCAGGAGCCAGCCTGACCCTATCATTTCTCACAGGTTGACAAGCGCAACAAGGATAAATGGCAGAAACTCCGTATGCAACATAGAGCTCGAGTCAAGAAGACTGAGGAAGGGATTCAGTCAATGGCTCATTCCAATAAATTGGCCCTGTGGGTTCTTAAGATACTTGCTTCTAGCTTGCGTTTAATTGCGTTGATAGAATACATTTCAATGTCGCTAGATCGACAAATTTCGCTAACGATACTATCCCTTTCCACATAGCATGAAACGCCGCAAAGCTCAGATCAAACAGCTGGCAGAACTTGTCAAGAAGAGGACAGAGCTCGAGGCAGAGATCGTGGCCGATATGCAGACACTCAGCGATTTGTATGAAGCTGCTAGTGGCGAATTACACACTCTTTTGACGAGCCGGCTATCCCGCCTCAAATAAATGACAAAAGTCAGCGGCCTATGAATGGATTATGGATGTATTTTTACGATTTATCAATATGGTCCCCGATAAGAGCGATTTGTGAGGGTACTGGAGCTCCATTGCTTGACGTTTAGAACGTTACTTCGCGCGGGCGTTCCTTGGTGTTCGGAGATGTTCATCTACAAATTGTTAGGCGTCTACGGAGTATATGGGGTGGCGTTTTATACTCGCACCTTTGTTTCTATCTTTTAATACACCCTCCACAGTTGTGTGTTTAATGGATGCGAAGGACTGATGGATGGCATGTCTCAAGGCCCTTGGGAGGGATATGGCCTCCCCTACAGATGTGTATCTTATGTTGGTCTATCTATATATTTAGCCACTTTGTGTGTTCTTTATACAAAGACTAAATTCATTACCACGATGCATTTACGCTGGCTTCCTGACTTACAGCTTAAAATCCTTTTCCATACTGTGCCCCTCGGCTTCTGGCGAAAAGCGAGGGAAATTGCAAGTTAAGATGTAGTACAACGTAAAGGCAGAAAGTATGTCACAAAGACAATAGAAGCCAAAATAAAATTCGAAAATGCCAAAAACACAAACGCTTCCATCTAAATACAAAGCCCACAGTACCATTGAGCTGCAGGTTGCTCTGCTTGTCGCTGGCTGCCACAGCCAGATATGGTCCATTCCCGCATTCCGCCACTTCGACATCGACAAAACTCCAACACTTTTCAACTGCGATAAACGTCAGCCGGAACCAACAGGCACACACGCCACTCTATCTCTATATATATATCAATACATATATGTGGCTTTAAAACATCGCATTCTAAACTCCACTCCAGGCTGAGAAAATGATAGTAATGCAGTACCTGTTCTTCGAATAACTGGAGGTCAGCCATTCTCGCTGGTCTTCCAGCTTTGGCGGCCAGCTAGGTAGCTGATTGTCCTATAACCCCATATATTATTGCTACTGCCAATTGATCGCATTGCATAGACGGACAAGACAGAGCCAGAAGCCATGTCGCTGCGAATTCTCTGTCAAGATCACCCTGATCGTGCGTTAGCATTGATTTCTGACGACCATGCCTTGATCCTTCACCATGTGCCCATCACCTCTGAATCGACCTCAACCACCTCGTACTCCCATGTTAGCCCGCCAAAATGCCATATCGAATTCGCCGGTCTGGATGCGCTGGACCTGTCGGGCTACAGAACCCTAGGTCGTGCACACGGAACAATCGGGCTGATCGCTCTAAACAGTGATATCTTTCTCTGCACAATATCCCAAGCGACACACGCCGCCACTGTGCGTCCTGGAGAGACTGTTCAGAGGATTATTAATGTAGAATTTTGTTAGTCTATTCCCAGAATATTGTTCTATCGTCCCTGATGGTGTTCTTACAATTTTTATCAACAGACTGTTTGAACCGCTCCGATTATGATAATAGTGTGGATTATGAATCCAGATCAACCTTTGCATATCCCTCTGACGATGGTGACTACGGAACTGGCTATGAAGGCCGCGAGGTTATCACCGAAACTCCGTTCCTCCCTCTGAAGAAGCTCCTTAGCGATGGTAGTTTTTACTTCAGTGTTGACTTCAATCTCACTGACCGCCTTCAAGATAGGTATTTTAACTCACGTTCGTGCTGGAACAAAAAAGAGAGAAATGATTGTAAACTAATTGATTGATTAATAGAGCTGAGGAGATTTCTTCTTTTGATATTGACAGCCTTGATAGGGATTTCTTATGGAACTCCTTTATGATCGAGCCCCTGTTGCTGTTTCGCAGCCATTTGTTGGAAGCTGAGCGGGTCACTCTCGACTCATGCAGGATATTGACCACAGCAATTCGCGGCTTTGTTCACACATTAACCATCCCCGCTTCGACACCTCTGTTGAGGTATTCTCATTCGAATTTACCCTCGAGTTTGACCCTGATATCGCGCCTCTCCTCTCGAAGGGCCGGAACCAGGTTCAATTCTCGCGGTATCGACGACGAGGGGAATGTTTCTAATTTCGTAGAAACCGAGACCGTAGTATGGATTCCGCCGGGAATGTGTTTCTCGTATACACAGGTCCGGGGATCCCTTCCAATTTTCTGGGAACAAAGCGTTGCGATAGGAGGGCAGAAAATTCAAGTTACCAGGTCCACAGACGCCTCCCAACCTGCGTTCGACAAACATTTTGACAATCTGTCTTTGATATATGGTGCTGTACATATAGTAAATCTTCTTACGGAACTAAAGCCTGGGGAGGCAGATTTGTCAGAACGATACCGATATCACATTTCTCGAAGCCCATTGAGGCAGGGCCGTGATCCCAATACATCATCAGAACATCATCTTCTAAAGGCGACAGATTTCGATTTCCATGCGGAAACCAGGGGACCTGCAGGTTACCAAAGCGCATCCATAATTCGTCATTTGATTCAAGATTCGGCCGACGCATTTGCGTTCTTTTTATGTACAGATGTCCCCCAGAAGGAAGAAACCTTGATCTCGACAGATGATGCAAACAACGGCCTGACGGTTATTCTTCAGCAGCAGGGGGTTTTCCGAACAAATTGCTTGGATTGCCTTGATAGGACAAATCTTGTTCAGACCATTATCAGTCGCATGGCTCTTGAATCATTTTTGGAACAGCAAGGTGGGAAAACCTCTGATGACTTTTGGAGGCGGCATTCAACCCTGTGGGCAGACAACGGTGACCACCTGTCCAAAATATACGCTGGCTCTGGTGCTTTGAAATCGTCATACACCCGGCATGGCAAGATGTCGCTCGCAGGTGCATTTGCAGATATACGAAAAAGCGCAGCTCGCTTATATATGAATACTTTCACCGACAGTGCGAGACAAAACACTATAGACCTCCTTCTGGGTACTTTAACTGGACAGAGTACCGTGCACCTCTATGACCCCATCAGTGATTTCGTGAACAGAGCTCTCAGGCAACGAGCACTAGAGTATACTTCCTCGAAAACAGTACGAATATGGGTCGGAACATTCAACCTCAACGGGCGAACCAATGGAGCCAACGGGACAAACCTATCGCCTTGGCTATTGCCGCAACTGGACAACTTGCAGGAGACTCCCTCGATATTCGCCATCGGGTTCCAAGAAATTGTCGAGCTCAGCCCGCAACAGATTATGTCAACTGATCCCGGGAATCGAATGATATGGGAGAACGCAGTTAAGCATACCTTAAATGACTACGCTAATAGGAAGGGCGAGAGCGAATATGTCTTGCTTCGAAGTGGCCAACTTGTCGGCACGGCTTTATTGATCTTTGTTAAATCGGAATTGCTCTCCGAGATAAAAGTTGTTGAGGGTAGTGTGAAAAAGGTATAATGTCCTTACTTCAATATGTCCATGTCATTCCTAGTTTGCTTCGACTAACATTTAGATAAGACTGGCATGTCCGGAATGGCCGGTAACAAAGGTGGATGCGCCATTCGTTTCCAGTATTCGAACACTCGAATATGTTTTGTTACAGCACACCTTGCGGCTGGATTTTCGAATTACGATGAGCGGAATAGAGATTATCAGACAATCAACCAAGGGCTCCGTTTCCAAAGAAATCGATCGATCGAAGACCATGACACCATAATATGGCTCGGGGACTTCAATTACAGAATTGGTTTGCCGGATGATACTGTGCGGGGGCTTATAAAAGCAGGAGACTTCGAGTCTCTGTATTCACATGATCAGGTATATCTCTGTGGAACGGGGCAACATAATTGATCTTTTTCTGACTGCTGCAGCTCAATCTACAAATGGTTGCCGGCCTCACATTTCCCTTCTACTCAGAAGCACGAATCACATTCCCTCCGACATATAAGTATGACAACGGCACTGACCAATATGACACATCGTATGTTATTTCACCTTGAAACATTCGGATTCAAACATTATGCTAATCGATCGCAGAGAAAAAGCTCGTACTCCAGCTTGGTGTGACAGGATTCTGTGGAAAGGTGCAAACATTCGCCTGCTGGAGTATAACGCCGCACCTTTGAAATTCTCGGACCATCGTCCTGTATACGCAACCTTTGATTGCGAAATAAGCATAGTGAATGAAAATCTGAAAGAGCATATACGCAGGCAACTTTACGAGGCTGAACAGGATCGAGTGGCGAATGGTCGTGAGATGGATTCCGGGTCGGAGGCGACGGACGATGAGGATGACCAGGATTTGATAGGGTTTGATGCTATCGACCCGTATCTCCCACCAGCTAGCTCTGACCGCCATAAATGGTGGCTCGACCAAGGTAACAACTAAGCATCCTACCTATCTAATTTTGCTATTTACTTGGTCTAACCCACACTAGGTCTCCCAGCCAAATCGACCTTAAAGCCACCGTCCGGTTTCATGGTTAACCAACACCGGCCTCCGAATCCGTTTTCTACAACCACAGAATCGGATTGGATTCACATTCCTTACCCTGACACTTCTCCCGCTAAAAGCCAAGTAGATGGCACTTCAGAAATTGCGAAACCAAGGGTCCCACGACCAGCAACTTCTTTGCGAAATGAGCCCCTAATCGACTTTGAAAAAGAAGACGACCCGTCCTCAAACTCCTTAGTATCAAGTAAGAGTTTGTCAGGCTTGGTAATTTCTAGCAACGGAGAAGTAGGTGTACCCAAGAAACGAGCTCCTCCCGTCCCTACGAAACCGTTATCTATGAGTACGGGCGTGGCGCGAAGTCCGAGTACGGCCGTATTTGCAAATGCAAGCCCCAGCCACCACTCTCAAGTGTCCTCAACGCCGATTTCCCTGGAACCCCAGACGACAGCAACACGAGCCACCCAGACGAGAGCTGGACCTCATATGCTCCGGCACGAAACGTCGGAAGATCGGAACATAAATTCGTTCGTCTCAGGAGGCTACCGTCGTGCAGATCTACCAGGTGTAGAGCCACGAGGGCTAAATCCTGAAAAGGCCTACGTCGACGGTGCCGCTAGCTCCAAATTGGGGAGCGAATTGCCGCCTCTTCCGCCTCCTAGGCGATCGGCAACAGCTGCTGATCGGCCCAGCCCGTCGGCGACGAATCATTCAGATGTGCGACTTGATGGCAGCATAGCCGGACCTAAGCCGTTACGTTTGCAAGGGTGAATGGAAGGTGTTAAGAGAGAAGGGGTTTGATTTTAATATTTCGAGCATATGTGATTTGTCAAAGAAGCGAGGGGGAGATTAGGCTGCATGCATGCAGCTTTTTTCTCTTTGCAATTGGCATCTGTTTTTCTTGATGAACGTAACCTGTTCGAGAGTAAAAGGTTGAGTCCAATACAATCGTGCAGAGCGGCGTATATTGAATTGCCAGGATAGATATTAGCGCATTCGGGATTGAAGATTGGGATTCCGTCGCGGCGGAAGAAAAGTTTATGCCTGTTAGTACATACATGCATGTTTACTTTTTAATTTACCTGGGTAGCTCGAAATCAATCTGATTATATTGTCCAGTGAAAGTGCGGTTTGTTTGGTACATACTCCATAATTGATTGCACAAGACATGTCTAACTTATGCCTCATTTTGCTCTTGCTCCATGTTTCCCCCCAACCTGCGGACTTCGTTCAATTCCGTTGTCTCTTTAGCCTGGGTAAGCCGGTTAGATCTAGAACGCTGGAATCTGAAAGACCCAGGGGGATGAGAGACGGAGGAGGCCTATACGTGTTATACACTCGATTTTGCTTCTAATATTCGGTTAAATATACGGAATTATACGCATAGAGAGAATATTGGAGGCTTTTCGTATATCCAACGGTCGCCCAATGGAGAACCGTCGTCGCTGGTTACATGCTGATTCCAAGATGGTAGGATTGGAGTTGCAAGGGGTATTAAAATAAGAAACTATGACTGTCAATCGATAGAAGATAAAGGAACCCCTTTGGATGCCGTCCTCGTGATGGATAGGGGTACACACACTACATTCATTCAATCATTCAAAGGCAGAAGAGCGATGAGGGTGAGATGATGAAAAGAAACAAGAGGCAGGGCAGGGTATGTAGATTAAGAGGTATAGTAGAAAAGGTCAACAACGCTCAGCACATACAGGAGAATATCAATGAAGAAATAAGATATAAGCAGGCAGAGATGGTATCCAAGACATAACGTAACAATTCATCAAAAAGAAGTCAATAGATTTCATAAACCACGTTCCCAAAAAAAGAAAGAAAGAAAGAAGAAACAGCAAAGAAAACATGGCTAATAGAACAAAATATGATATGGACTATTTTCAGGGTCCTTTTTGAGAGCATGAGAAACCAATCCCAAGGTTCACTCGGGAGGAAAAAGCCATGTCTCACTGAAGGCTCCCTCATGTTGCAAAGTGACTGAGGTGGTTTCGAATAAACAACAACACTACATGATGAGCTCAAAAAAGGTAATTGTAGCGGAGGCGGCGAGGGTACGAATGAGTGCCCAGTGTATCGTATCGTGGAGCGGACATAAAGAGAAGCGCTGAGATGAGGATAGGGAATATGGAGAGACGAAGTATTGGACTATCGCGTGAATAGTTTGATAAAATAACCAATAACGGGGGAATTCGATGGTGTTTCTAGAACCAGATATGGAGGCCACAAAAGCTACCTTCTTTGGTCCAGAGTTGCTATTTCGGCTTCAACACCTTGCATGGGGACAGTTAGAAGCGAATCGAGTTGCGGGCGCGCAAATATAGGGCTTTGGCTCCTCGAGTTTTCATATTAATCAATGTTCGGCTGGTTAAGTGCAGGTGAATTGACGCTGTTGTATTTCAGGAGTCGCTGCCCAGTTGCCTGAGGGGCATTGATTGAAACCAAATTCCAAATTATTTATTCCAGTCAGTTTTACATGCTCTCGTACTTTTGCTTTTCTTTTGTTCGACTTGAGTTGTATATACCCGATCAGTCATCCGTGGTAGTTTTGAAAAAAGGAAAAAGGGCTAAGAAGAGGGTTAGGATCGATGAGAGAGTTCCGAGCTATCTTGTTGCATTGCGGTTAATCAACCTAATCACCCATTACATGACACAGCATTGTTCATCATGCTGCAGCAGCTGAGGCTGCGGGACGACTTCAGGCTTTTTTTCCGCTTTTAAAGGCTTGTTAGGCAGCTTGCCTCGATTCCCTATCATCCACATGGCGAAGGCTCCCGGGTTGGGCTCCCGGGGACGTGGTTTCTTAGGACCGGGAGGCGGTGGCGGCGGTTGTCCATCCGCTGGAATGTGAAGCGTGTCAACAAGTGACTCTGAGAATGGCAACAGATCCGAAGCCATGAAGACCTCGGCGTCTGGTGGAGGCGGAGGTATGGGTGGTGGTGGAGGAGGAAGAGGAGGAGGGTGCGCACCTGGAGCCTTCGGATCCACGATGGTAACCAGATTGGGGTCGTCCTCTAGTACTTCAGGCAGATCCGGAGACTTGGTCTTTTTAGGCTTCTTGGGCTTGTCCGGGATGGGCCACATATGCATAGTGATGGCCCAGTCCGGCTCTACTACGGTTTCCCACACTTGTGGGAGGATGATGTCGCCGTTAGGGCCAACTAAATCATAATGGCCCTCTGCAACATGCGGTCCAATTACGTCAACGTGGAGGAATGCTTGCCGGATCAGATCCTCCATACCCTGGCGATTTTACAAGAGCAAGAAGAAAAAATGAAGATTAGGCGCTATGGTTTTTATAAACAAAATAAAAAAGAA